TTTCATTTACTAATTACCTAAAACAATTTTAAATGAAAGTGTTCTTTAAGGTTATTTTTTTGGAACTCATGACAATATCTCATTTAAATTAATGTTGGGATAAAAAATCAAAATGAGATAAAACATTTATCTTTATTTTTCAGTTATATTTAAGATTTTATGCCAGATTCAAATTGCAATATGTAAAAAATAATTAAAAATAAATTATATACAAAATTTAATTTTTTTTATTTTTATTTTTATTTTTGTTGGTGTGAATTAGATATATTACACACATCAACTCAAATTAAGTAACATATCATCATCTTCTGTTAGCCTTTCTAGAGTTGGATAATTCAAGTAATATTGTTCAAACAATCGGACATATAAAAGGGTATAAAATTAAGAAGCAAGGGTATAATTAATATCCAAATTTGGGGTTGATATCGAAAATGATGGTTTTTTAACGTGAAGGTATAACATCCAAGTTTGTGGTTATTATCGAAAATAATGTTTTATTAACGTGAACAATAATGTATTAACTCACTTAGGCTTAGTGTACCTAAATTTTGGAAAATGTTAAATCAAGATAAAAAAAAATTATTGTCTGAAAATAATATAATTTGTCTTAAAAATAAATAAAATATAGAAGGTTGGATATATTTATTATTGAATGTTATTATAGATGAAATATATAAAATTATTGACGAGAACATTATGTTAAGGAAAATTTAATTTATATTTTGAATTACCGAATATTAGTTTTAATTGTGCATTCATTTGGCTAGATCCGCACTCACCGATATTAAAAATATAAGTCTTTTTTTTTGTAAAGTAGAATAGTAATATTTTTAAAACACAACAACATCATCTTTAACTTTTTTAGTTGGAAAAAATTAAATAAAATTTTAAATGTGTTAGGACTAAGAAGGTGAATTGAGAACTAATATTTATAAATATTTTTCAAAATGTAAAATCTCATGCAAGTTATTTTTTGTAACTAAATTGACAGGTTTCAAAATTTATAATTTATAAACATTATATTAATATAACATTTATTGTGCAATTAAAATTGATGTGAATTTGTGTTCAAAAGTAATAAATTATAAAAAAAACTATCAGTAGCTATTCATCAATTTACATGTATGTTGGAGTAAAAAATTTCGGCTATAATTGTCTTTCATTTGTCAATGAAATTTTATTTAAATAATTCAATATTTTTGCAGCGAAAATCTCAATGCATATTTCAAGAAGTTTAATTAGCTTCCGTTTATAAATAATTTTCAGTCCAAATAGCTAGATATGTTATTGACTTGATGACTAATGACGATATTGAAGAATTTTGTCTCTTAATTCAACAAAAAGCTAAAAACACAATTTTAAAGTATAAAATGTAAAATTCTCCCAGCATAATTTTTTTTTGTTGTCCAATTATCCTTGACGTTTTCCAATTCAAGACTACTATTTAAATTCCAATAATGATAATTTTTATTATGTTGTCTTAGGCAATGTGAGTTGATCAAAGTCAACTATTGTCGTTATATGTGATATTGTTGCTGAAAAAATATGCACTTAGTCATAATAGTAGCATATTGTTGTTTCTAGAGTTATAAACGAAAGATTAATATTTTCAATGACAATAGTGATCATAATATGCTCAATTCGCCTACAACTAATGTTATATGTATAATTATTCAAATGTCTAATAAGTGACATTATTTTAAATAAATTGTCATTCGTTTAAATTATAATTCATCAATATATTTAACATTATATCGCGCAACGCGCGGGTGCCGTACTAGTTTTATTAGAATCGGGGCAAGATGGTGCTGTGAAGTGCATGGGAACAGTAGTTCACTAGATTTATAAACTAGATTCATTTACCCTATCAAATCAATGTGGGACGACTTACAAGTGATATTCCAACACGCCCCTCACTTGTCCTTCATCAGGACAAACCTACAACCAAGCCGGGTAATCATCATAAGCCCAAGCCTGTAACAAGGCCGAGTACATTTTTCTAAATCATCGCAGGTTTCAAAGGCCCGCTATGATACCGTATTATAATCGGGGAAAGAGAGTGCGGTCCAACCAGGTAAAACGCACCATAAGAGGGTGAACCTAGATGCACTTTAGTGAAGTTTCATCTCAAAACCAATTGGTGATGTAAGGAGTAGCCACTAGACTTATAAATTATGTTAATTTACTCTATTGAGACGACTCACAAGTAATATTCCAATAAATTTTAAGGATCCCGCATTCTTTTACTATTATTATCATTATCATTATTATTATTGTTGTTGATATTATTATTATTATTATTATTATTATTATTATTATTATTATTATTATTATTATTATTATTATTATTATTATTATTATTATTATTATTATTTAATAAAATGTAATAATATATTCAGTGACGGACCTAGAAATTTTAACAAGGGGGCCCGATTTTAAATGTTAAATAACGAGCATGTAGTTTAAGTAGACACTCATTTCATATAAAATTATATTTACAATAAATAAATATAAATATTGGCACGTGTACCATAAAAAGAAGCTCTACACCTTCAAATTATTAATGTATTTATAATTTAGTTCAACATATATAATTTATGGAAATATATGTTTTTTTGTTGAAAATTTGATTCAAATTGAACTTTTACACAACATTCCATAGCATTTTTTTTTCATGAAAGCTTATCAAATGTACATATTTTTAAGAAAAAATAAGTGATGTTAAAATATGTGATTACACACACAAAAAAAAAAGAGTAAAATACCAACATTAAAAAATATAACAATCCAACTAATAAATAATCAATTTTATATATTCCTAAGTCGATTTAAAATTAAGAGACCAAAAGAGTAAATCATTATAAATATTTTCGAAAGCTTATCTAAAATTTAAAATATATGGGTTGTTAGCATATTTTTCAATAAATAAATAATATTATTAATTTAAATGAAAATAGCATATGAAATAAGTTTTAATTAGTAATATATTGTACAAAAAAATTTTACATTTCGATACATATTTTATGCTATTTTATATATATATTGTTTTTTAATGAATTTTAATTATTAATACATTTATTTTATAGTATTTATATATATATATACTGATTTTTTTTAGAATATGAGGGGGGCCCAGGGACCCCCCTGGGCCCCATGTAGCTCCGTCAGTGAATATATTAGCATCCTTCACTTTGAGAGTCAGGGAACACACTCTATATTTCATAATTCATACTAACAAATACTGAGTGAAGCTCTAGCATGAAAATTGTAGACCAAATGGAGTTGTGTGGGTTAAGCTAGCTCGGGGATTTAGCCATTTAATTAACCCAAAAATTCAAAATCAATAATCTTGGAATATCACTTGTGAGTGTCCCACATTGATTTTATAGGAAAAATGAGTCTAGTATATAAGCCTAGTGGGCTACTCCTCCTATCACTAATTGGTTTTAGGATGGAACCTCACTAAGGTGCATCTAGGCTCACCTTCTTATGGTGCGCCTTCATCTGGTGGGAGTGCTCTCTCTTCCCCCGTTTCTAATACTTCAAACGATCGGGTTGCAGTTAACAATCCTTCCTATAATTAGGTTTGGACAAATAATATGGATATATAAATAATTAATAATTTAGGTT